CACTGCCACATGGCTGCGGCCTGTTCAGACCCTTACTGGCACAGACCTCCACACTCAAGGCACACCACCACAGAGCACCTTCAGTAGGAAAGTGTCACCCAAGGCCCGTATGGCAGTGTCTCATTTGCACAAGATGCTCCTCTGAAATCTGATCCTTTTGCCATTTACACTGTATGCGCATGAGTAATGCTGACCACATTCATTTCTAAATATAAGGGAAACCTGAAGTTGTAAGTAAATTCGGCTCATTAGCTCATGAGGTTTTGATCTGAATAACGAGCATTTGTGCAGAATGGAGTTTTAACTTGTAAGGCTGTACAGTCCTCAAGGGGCAGGACTGAGGGGAAGGGAAAGCTGAGGTCACAGACAGCAGGCATCAGTCTGAAAGCTGGAACTAAGCAGAGATGATCTAATCACCTGCAGTTCTCTGAAAGCGCCTTGTTAAGGTGGAGACTTGAGGACATGCACTTTCCCAGCCAGGCAATAATACTGAAGATCAAACAGGGATTAAAATAAGTGACACTGCAACACCGACATGGGTGAGGCCCCTATCTACCCTGCCCCTAAGCACCGGTTCATTATTATGCTTCTGATATTAATAATTAACTAAGACCTGGCAAGGGTGAGGTGTCAGCACTGACCATATATCACTGCATTATGAGGCAGGAGGCCAAAGGCTGAGTGTCTTCAGCTACAGAGGAGATAATGCTATTGGATGGTGTCCAACACCCTGGATTCCTCCCAGCTCTAAAGAAACCACAAAGGACCAAGTTTTACCATCTGTTACAGCCACAGAGCCTTGCACTGAAACCAGAGGACTTGGAAGAATGTAACCGAGAGCCAAATTCTGCCCAGGTGGAAGAAAAGAATTGTATTTGCTTTCCTGGTTCTTATGATTACACGTTCTGGTGTAAAAAGCAGAGCAGAGGGCTTGGCATAGTAGATCTCATCAGGAGACAAACGTAGCCTGCAGCCCAGTTTTTAGTGGATGGTACATGATTCCTCAAGAGCTGGGATCAACAATGCTTCAGGAACAGTGGGCCCAAATTACTCAGCTGAGTCTAAGGCAGGCCAGCTTCGCTCCCCCGCAGCAGCCCAGGCTTCTGCCTTAAGCACCTGGGGACAGTGACTTCCCTCCACTGCCCAGCCCCCGCTACCAAAATCTCTCAAGAGCCCCAACTTTGTGGGCTAGATGGAATGGCTCCACAGGCCAAATCTGACTCAGAGATCACAGGTTGCCAACTCCTGATTTACAGCAGGGGTGTTCAACAGGCTTCCCTATTCAAACCCCTAGATCTGGTCCATATGGTGTACTTATGTGACCTACTGGACAAAATCTGATTCTTTGAGATCCTACATTAACATTCACTCAGCTTCAGTTCAAAAACAAGAATCACTGGCACTTCTGGCTGCAGAAGTTCCACTTCGGAAATGTCAAAGCAGACACGACGCAACATCTGCCTGTGACTACACAGAACCTGAAGCAATGACTCAGAGGTGAAATTTTCTGACCACTCTGTCTTGTTGGGTTATCAGCTTTAAATAGCTGACACCTGGAATGTCATCACTGGGCTGGAATCAGTGATCATTTTAGTGCCTAGATGGCACAGGCAATGTGGAAGCAGATACATCAAGAGAAAAGGACACTTGCCAAACACAAGGGGGGAAAAATACTGAACCATGGAAAAGATGGTAGGGAAGGAAGTAAAAGTAGGAGGGAGAAACAGCAGTTTCTCAGTTAGGAATGAATGTGACAAGAAGAGACGGAAGAAAATCACTGAAACATGTAGTAATAAAGCTCTAATAATTAGGGCTCCTAAGTCTCATTGAGTCTGCCAGCCACCAAATGGCATGAGATGGGGTTGGCTGTGTACAGTTGCTGCTACTTTAATCGCTTGTGTGTAACTTTATCTAGGGGGGCTCTGGACAGACATTGCCTTCCTTAAGGTGTTTTTAAATAAACGGATCAGGTTCATCCAGGGCTGAAACCCACACATTTCAGTATATAGAGGGTTACGTTTTTGGAGCTTGTGTGGGAACTTCCTCTTGGCAACTGTTTGGTTCGGGATCCAGGGAGGCTGGGACAAAAAAAAAGAACCCCGAAAAAAACCCAGCACAGGACTGCTGTCATGTGAGCAGCTGCATCTGTTCTAAGTCCTGCTGCATTTCTGCATGGTCATGTCAATCTGTTCCTTACATTCTTTGGCTCCTGCTCAGAATTGTTCCTAGCTGACACCAGAGCAGAGCACAGCAGACGTTAGGGATAAATAGCACAAGTGACTGCTTGGGAGAGACTTACAAAGATGCGAGTGTGATGCTTTGAGATCCGTGGGAGGCACCTTTCCTTCTGCTCTCACTGCAAAGCCAGCAGCATTAGCTGTGGGCCAGCCCTGGAGAGAGGATGCTACCTGCAGACTAAGTAACTGGCAGCAGAAGCCTTGCAAACTTTGAGCATTGTGCCAATGGAGAGATTCTGTGGCCAAGCAAGGCCCCAAATGAACCCCTTCAACCACTGCAGCCTGCAATTCAACTGGGTTAGTTATGAAGTCTGTAGCGTTCAGAACAACAGGATTTGTGGCTCTATGTTATGCCAGGAGGAACGCTGGGTATATACAAAAGTACCTTTTACCTGCTTTAAACTGCTGCTAGGGACTGCACACCTGCTGCTATGATCTGTTACAGCCACAACAGCAATCCAACTTGGCTAAATAATTGTAATTTTAACCCTGAATGATACACTTGCACCACTACAGAATCCTGTAGATGTAACAGTTGCCTTGTAACGGCTTGGTATCTGTTACTAGGGCTGTACAAAGCTTCAGTCCATGATTCAATTTTGCAGAGATTCAGCCCGATTCAGTGGCCGAATCTCCAAAACCGAACAGAATCAGGAGACCCTTTAATCTCTCTGAATCAAATCGAAATCCTCCAAATCGATTTGGAGAGATTCGGAAAGATTCAGCAATTTGGACACAGACACACCTTTAAAATGTTTTTTCTACATACCTCACGGAAGCTCATGAATGCTGCAATGCTGGGGCAGATGGAGTGTCCTGCAGGAGCGTGGGAAGTTCCCCAGAGCGCTTGGCAGCAGACCTGGAAGTGGACCAGAAGAACTTCTGGTCCACTGCCGGGTCTGCTGGGGAGCGCGCTGGGCCCCACCCCGGCTCAACCACTGGTGCCGCCCAGGTTGGGGGAGTGGGGGGGGACACACATGCAGGGTCCCCCCTGCGGCTGATCGCCAAGCTGGAGGTGGCGCAGGAATACCGCCCCCCCCCCCCCCAAACCCCCTTAGCAGGGGACCTGGAAGGGGCACCCCCCCCCCCCCCCCCCAAACGCGCTTAGCAGTGGACCTGGAAGTGGACCAGAGGTATTTCCAGTCCACTTCTGGGTTCACCACCAAGCATGTGGGGGGCCACCCTGTGCTCCTGTGGGACACTCCATCCACCCCAGCATTGCAGTGATCATGAGCTGCACCTGGTACCTCAAGGTATGTAAAACAAACATTTAAAACTGTGTCTATGGCCGAATCGCTGATTCTCCAAATCAGCATTGAATCTTCAGATTCAGATTTTAGCCGAATCAAAATCGGGACAGTGATCCAAATCAACAAATAGAATCGCTGCCCTCGATTTGGGCTGAATCCAAATCCAAATCGAATACAGCCCATTTTGCACACATCTATCTGTTACCAATTGTTCTGTCTGCCTATGCCCTGAACTGAAAAAGCAGGAGGCGGACTATGCAGCACAGAGGTGTTCAGAAAGGAGGAATGGGAGAATGATGCAACAACATCATTTGACTTGGGCTCTGCCTCAGACAGAGTATTGTTGAACACTGGATTGTCCAATACTCTTTACTCAGATGCACAGCGCTAATGACGACACTTGAGCCCTTCCTCTCCTTCCATTTAGCACATTCATCTCCATATAAAGGAAGGACTTCCAAAGAGGTCAAGTGAAGCCTAGATAAAACCATGCAACAGCAGTGCCCCAAGCAATCCTCCAGCACTCAACCCCAGAGCACACCCCTGCTATCCCCACTGTAGTTCTCTGTCCAGTCTACATGATTCCCTTCAACCTGTGACCAGCTCCTAAGATACCCACATGGAAGTAAATCATCCTTTGAAATAGAGAGGGCAGCATCTGGCTTAAAATTGAGCACCAGGGGCATTTAGAGATGTATTCCAGGAGGCATGGAGGAGGGGGAGGGTGCTTTAATCAGTGGGCTGTACTAATTAAAAGTGCCCGAGCATCACGTGTATCCGTGTCCCTATGCTGAAAAATGGCAGTGGGACGCTTTGAACTAAAGCTCATCAAACAAGCTTTAATTTAAAGCACCCCACCACCATTTTTCAGTGCAGCAACACTGATGCATGTGATGCCGGAGCCTTCTGAAACCCGTTAATTTCTGTACTCCAGCAGACTGTTTAATCAAGTCTGCTCTGACGCACTGGATTTACAGTACGTTGGAGCAGCCTCACTGTACATCTATAGGAGCCCCAGGTTCTTACTGGTCTGGCTACAGAAGAAAAATGTTGGGGAGGGGTAAAAATAATGCAGTCAGCATGAAAAAAACTGAACAGTCAAAATAGGGATAAAGGGCTAGTGCCTAGAACCACCAGAAACAGTCGATAAGTCTAGAGACCATGCATGGCAGATACAGGAATACAAACCTTCTGCTACTCTGCTGAGGTTTTAGGCTGTACTTAGGAAGACTGCCAAGATTTGCGGAGCATATGAGCACGGCACCAGCGATTGCCCAGGTTAAACAGATGCCCCTTCAAAAAATAATGGCCTACAAGATTCCTAGCGTTCTGCTCCCCTGGTGCTGCCCCATGACCATCTGACCCCTCACAGGACGTGGAACTGAGAGTACATTCCTCCACGTGAATTCCCACTGCCAGGCTCTGGTACCTAGACAAGAGGCTCCACAAGGGGCTGGCAGCTTTTCAGAGAAATGCAAGCTGCTTCTCTTCACCAGGGATTTGAGACACTTACCCATTAATGTACCCAACAGCTTCTGCACCCTGGAATTCACTCCAACAATTCGGTAGAGCCCTTGTTCATTGATCCCTGAGAAGATAAAGCATTTATTTCATTAGGAGACCATTAAAAGAACTATTAACATTTCTTTGGCTTCTCTTATGGCAACTACAGTTAAAGCTTCCCACTAGCTATGTGCAAAACTCAGCCCAGCTCTTACTCAAACAGCTGAAGTCTAGTTCTGATGCCTAGAATTTCATGCACATATTGAAGTACTGTCTTCCTGATCAGCTCAGAATTAGAGGAGGGGTGCAATTGTCATTTGTACTGATTAGCAATGGCAGAGCATGGAAGCACCACAAAGGAATATAATTTATCTGGTGGGATAGGCTTCTGATCAGGAACCAAGTTTTCATGCATATTTGGCCAGTGTCTTACACAACTGTGGTCCTGATCCAAATTATAAATTTTGGGTGGTACTGGGAGAATAAAGAAAAAAATAGTACAGAACTGTTTTGTTGTTACAGGCAGGAAGCAAAAGGCCCAACTCAGACACGGATTCCTATAAAACCTTAGGCAAGGCATACCTTTTCCACCACTATCAGTAATCTGAGGATAACAATTTGCAGAAAATTAATATCCCTCTCTCACTGTGAGGGTGCTCATGAATTATTGTGACATAGGCCACAAGCATATAAAAAAAAAAAATCTTTTTAGGGAAGATGATCAAAGGAGGTTTAAAAATACCCATTTATTTACAACACATTTCCAATTTAATTCCCCATTTTAGAAGTCTGCCCACTGTTTCTTCATTTATTCTTCTGCTTTGGATATCTGCTAAACCACTTCCAACCTATGGAAATGCAACCCAAAATCTATATCCCAGCCAAGGCATCATTGTAAGCCTACAAAATGTTTACTACACATGGGTCTCAGAGGGTTAATCAATCATTTCTGGGCACAAAAAGAGCAGGTAAGCAAATACAATGCTGAAAACAGATGCAAGGCCTGCCCTAAAAACAAGGCCATCTGGTGAACTACTTACCTCTTGTTTCAACAGCGTGTATGCATTTCCTGATAATGCTGAAGCCGACATTATCCAACTGAGCAGCTGAAAAGGAAGAAAAAAAGAGAATTGATAAACCATCGAGCAATAGGGCTAATTCATGGTGAACACGCCCTTTGCCAACCAGAGTCCTTTCACGTTTTCAAAGACACAGTTAGTGCTTTTCAAAAACCTTTCCAGAGGGACAAATTTGGTGAAAAGCAGACACTAACCAACTAGGCTACACCAAGTATAACTCAGACAGATGCATGACAACTGAAGAGCCTCATTTCAGACCCCTTACTGGCCCATTTTTCTGATTCTCCAGATCTCTGCCAATGCCAATTACTGTACCCGGGATCTTCACTTGTTCAATAGTTTCAGGATCAAGATGAGCCCTCCCAAGGGAAACTTCTGACTGGGAGATCTGCAAGGCTCTAATCTGCTAAGTCACATATTTCAAATGGCAAATCCTGAGACACTGCACTTGTGCTGAGCATCCGGTATTTCCTTGATGGTTCTCTTGAATGATTTTCATGTTTTGCTTTCAACTGCAAGGACTCAGTGCCTTTTTCAGGTGCACTATCAACTGTGCTAAGGAGGTAACTGGAGAAGAAGAAAAGGTGAGCTAGTTCCATCAGGAATTAAAGAATTAAAATAGATCTTTCTGAAGACGACAAAATGCTTATCCCCTTAAAACCAATACTTTTCTAGTACAGTGCTCCAGAGAGGTGAGGTGCGCTGAGAAGAAGCTTCCACAAGACCCTTTTCTCTTGAGATGTCAGCCACACTCTAAAATAAGTTGTGAACCTTAGTTTAAAGCAAGCCTATTTACTTCATCTTTAGGAGGGAACAGAGTTCACTGTCATCATGAGTGACCCAGCTGGGATACTATCTTCAAAAGCTCATTGTGATACTGCCAGCCCAGTACACGACAGAGCCACTTGAACGCTAAGGCACATTTTCATTATTCAAGTAAATGTTTTTGGCTCCCAGGCTGCAAGCTGCCCAGGCAAGTCCTATTCCTTTAAGGGCTGTACACAATACAACCCATTTCTCTTCTTCCCATGCCAATTTGCAGTGTGCAACCAGAGTCCCTTCTTTTATTAGTAGGAATGTGTGAACGAGGATGTCCTGAAGGTATCTGACTTTGAGCCTGACAGTAAGATCCAAAACATTCATGCTAATGAAATACAAGACTCAATTAAACTCATGCTGTTGCAATTCTTCACATTTAAATTTAAGCAATTAACCAATATATGGATTGAAATACCTGCTGAAATCTTGAAGGAATAATTTATGCCTTAGTCCACTCTTGACTGGTACTGGGAATGCACTGCCTGAGGTTAGCCATCTGCGGAGGAAGAAGTACTTCCTCTGTTTGCAAAGGTTGGGAAATTTGCAGAGGCAGTATTGAAAAATCATCCCATGACATTCAGAACATCAGGGACATCCTGGGAACTTAACCACGAAGGAAGCGTGATCCAGTGTTTAAGCAATACATCTATTATGCTATCAGGGCTGTCACTGCAGCACAGAGAAGTCAAGAGAAATGGAACTTTTTCCTACTTCCAGCACGGTCTTTGGACAAGTCATTAACACTGTCTAGACCTTAGATACAGCAATTCCCTACAGTGCCTCTAGGAGGATTGTGAAGCTGAATTCATTACTCATTTTAAAAGCAAGCTGAGATCTGAGTAGGACAAAGGTGAGGTATTACCTTACAAGAATATGATTTTATTTAGCCACGCGCAAAAGTAGGTGAGCATCACATTTCAAAAGCACAAAACTGCACTCTCTGGAGTCCAGCAGGAAAGGCCCCAAAGAGTCCCAGGCTTACACAATGGGAGACATGCAACATTATCCTTTGCCTCGCCCTCATACATGCAGTTTAGCAAATCAGATACACACTAATGTTACTGCTGATCATAGAACCATAGAAAATGAGGGTTGGAAGGGACCTCAGGAGGTCATCTTGTCTAATCCCCTGCTCAAAGTAGGACCAGCCCCAGCTAGATCATCCCAGGCAAAGCTCTGTCTAGTCAGGCCTTAAAAACCTCCAAGGATGGAGATTCTACAACTTCTCTGGGTAACCTGGTCCACTGTTTTACTATCCTTCTCGTGAGAACACTCTTCCTAATATCTAGCCTAAGCTTCCCTTGCTGCAACTTGCTCCTTGTTCTGTCATCTGGCACCACTGAGAACAGTTCAGCTCCAAATGCTGCATGGTAAAAAGGACAGTTCACTGGCTGCCTGTAGCTTATAAGGTGCAGTCCCTTACTAGTCCATTTATCTCGCACCTTGAGTCCTCTGCTCATTTGTTTAATCTCTCTTGTGAATGGCTCTATTATACAAAAGTGCTCTATTATATTTTTCTGGTCAAACCTGTTGACAGGCTGAGCCAGAACACAAAGTTGTAGGATGCTTACACTAGAGCAGGGCTGTTCAACTGGCTGCCCATGGCCTAGTCTATGCACTACTCCTCCCTGACTTTGTTTTTTGCTGATTTACCCAGAGTCCCTTGGCTCCCAACAGATTCCACTTCCACTACCACTGGGGGCAAGGCAGAGCAGCACCGCCTGTGTTCTTTGAGGGAGCCTGTGGCCAACAGTGGGGGAAGGAATGGGGTGGAGCTGGGGACTCTATGCTGCACGGCACTGTGCAGTGGGAGTTGCCTGCTACACGCCTTGTGGGGGGAAGCAGGTGGTGTGGCGCGGTGCATCTGCACGTACAGGATACCTCCAAGGTGCAGCAAATCCATGCAGGGAAGGGAGGGGGAAGGGGGCATGGTGTGGCAGGGAGGGTTCTTGTGATGCATAAGAGGTTCATGCAGTGCAGCAGGTAGGGATGAGGGGGACTGCACAGTGTAGCAGACAGCCCACATGGCAACGTGGCCTGGGGGTGTGCGGCCCATGTAGTGTGGGGCTGGGAGGGGGGGTGGGTCTATGCCCCCCCCAAGAAGCAGAAGTTGGACAGCCCTGAACTAGAGGATGCACTTTAATATCTACACAGTTCTACGGGTCTTAGAAACTGCTTCATAGTCTCAAACAGACATCCAGCTATTCCCAGGAACAGATATAAATGGGCTTGCTGGGATACTGTGTTTAAATTTAGTTTCTCAATCGGGCCAGTCAAAACCAAATCAAAGCCATTAAGTCCACTGCAGACCTCTCCATGGCACACTATGCTACCTATCTCAGGTGCCAGAACAAAATACACCAGGTATAGGAGACTCGCAACATCCCTGACAGTCTTGACTAGCAGATGATAAAGAAACAGGTCTCAGCAAAGTTAAATGTGCTCTTACGTTTAAGGGAACTAAACTAGAAATTTCTGAGCGCTTGGCCCTCAGATGCCCAACATAAGACCTTCTTACAAGGCCCGTGATTTTCAAAAAACCTTTGGTCAACATTTAGGCTGGGAGACCTTGTCCTGTATATGCCACCCTTTCCTCAGCTCCTTCCATTTTAATATTGAGAATACAAACACGCATGCCTCTCCACAATTCCCTCTGCTGGAGTTTCCTTTTGAGCCCATTGCACCACTCAGTTCTGAGTGAGTAACTACTAGACAGGGCTTACAATGCTACCTTTCAACTGTGTTTGTTAACGGCAGAGGGAGGAAGCAGGAGCAATCCCTCCTGACGAGAATGACAAGAGTGTAATCCTCCCGAGCAGTTGAAACAGCCAGTAGGCTCCTGACTGAGCTCTGGATCAGGAAAGGTCAGGGATTTATACGCAATCTTTGTATCCAGAAATAATATATGATTAAATATCCAAACTGCCTTATGCATCTTGCAATTTGACTTTTAATGAGCACCATCAAAGCTTGATCCTCTACCCACCCCCACAGCACCAGTTTCTCTTTATCTCGCTCGTTTACGCAGAGATTCAGTTCAGAAAGTACAGAAATCGTAGAATCAGTGGTTTTCAACCTGTTGTCCGCAAACCCCTAGGGGTCCGCAAACTATGTCTAAGGGGTCTGTGAATGATCAATCAAAAGCATGTGAATACCCACACTTAGTCTGCACCTCCACTCCCTTCAACATTTCCAAAGGGGTCCGCAAAATGAGAAAAGGTTGAAAACCACCGTCACAGACGGATCATGACATCTAACCTCCACATTGTACACCACAGCAGCTCACTAATCTACAGCACTAGGCTTCAACCAGGTTCCAGTCAACACTTGATTCCTCATTTAGATTCTGCTTGCTAATACCCTGAAAAGACAGAGGCCTGGGGGGACAGAGTGCAACAGAGTCTGCTGTGATGTGCAGAAAGAGAGCAGGCACACAAGCTCTGGCTCAGAGCAAATGCAGGGAACTGTGGTCAATAACCAAGATGCAAAAAGTAGTGGGAAAGAGTTATCCATCTCATCAGCCTTACATGCCCATGGTGCCAACATACAGGGCATCCCAAATCCTCAGCCCAAGCACCTGGGACGCTCTTGCATTACTTTCCATTCTAAACGCAGAATTAAGCAGATGTAGGTAACCATGACATCTACTACAGCTCCAGCTGCTGCTCTGTGCATGCCTTTAAGCAGTATTTAGGGGATGTAATTTATCTCCCAGCTTCCTGATGCCCTCTTCCCTCAACAGGGGATGGCAAACCAAGTGCATTCATCCCCAAACACACCCTGTCCTGTATTAACAAAGGAGAAATATTCCAATCCACAACTGACCAGGGTATCAGATGCTGCATACACACCACACTGAGCTATTTTAATCACCATTTGACAAGCATCAGCTTTATATAATACCTAAAAAGTACTTATCCTGCCTTATGCTTCACACTTTATTTCAAGTGCTGCTGAATTATCCCACTTGGGCCAGTCTCGTCTTGTCGCATTGTAAATTATTTCTGCTTAATCCTTAAATCCCTCATTTTTTGCTGATATTGCATCTGAGCATTGAGGAAGGGGAACAATAACTGAACTGGGGCTATTCACCCTCGGGCAGCCTGGCTGGATCCAGACTTGCAAGTGTCACCCCACAGCAGGCGCACGAGACTGAACAGATTCCTCGGCAAATGCCACTGGACAATTTTGCCTTTGGGAGTTTTTCTTTTTTGGATTGTATGCATTTATTTATTTATTTTTAGTCCCAACTCTGCCTCAAACGGCTTTGCAGCTTTAAACAACAGCAGGGGGAAGAGAGGAAAAAAAATAATTAAGGAATGGAAGCCAAACAGAAACAATGTTATCAGCTGAGGGCTGAAAGGAGATGAGGGGTTAGTGAGATGTGAGGCAGCTCCAAAGGAGAAAGAGCTCTTGCACTATAACTGGGTCAAGAGCAGGCCAGCAAGGGGAGGGATGTGGAGGGAAGAGTTTATAAAACAAATGGATACTTTGAACCAGATCTTGAAGTGAAAGGGGAGCAGTGAGAATGGAGAAGGGGGTGACAAGTTCATTCTTTCTTGTGCAAATAACAAGACCCGATGGTCTTGGTGTGTCCCTTGGTGTGTCAATGGTACAGAGTGTCACTTTTCATAGGGCAGGGCAAAGTAGGGCTTTGGGGTTGTTTGGTTTGGTTTTAACCAAGAAGCTAGAATTAATTGAGCTTTACAACTTCACTGGAAAAAATATTCATTTCTCACCCAGCTCTATACTCTTTCCCCTGGCTCTCTAGCCAGATAAATCACTTACCAGGCTGCTTGCCAGCTGGCCACGTACTAGCTTACAAAAACCTAACAGCTCTGAAAAATTAGACAGCAGTCAAGAAATGGGCCTCAGTAGGATACCATGAGCCTTTCAGACTAACTTAAGTCAGGCAGGAAAACACATTTCTGTAGGCTCCAGAGGTCCAAACTCAAGCACAGGCTCCACAGATGCACTACTTGCCTCGACCACTGTTCAGACTTCTTTGTAAGAAGGCTGCAACAACCCAGTCGCTGGACCTTCCTGCCTCTGGAATCAATGTGAGTATATCTGGGGAAGTGCGCTGTTCAATACACACCACACACTTTTTAATGAGTGCTAGACTGATGTTTGAACAGCAGCCCGACTTACCCTCCGAAAGTAATTGCCACAGAAAAATTCCATAAGAATGCTTCACTTTCAGAGAGACTTCACTCTTCATCTGAGGGTCTTGGTGCACTTTAAAAGCAACACAAGTCATCTCTGAGGCAGGAAAGTAGAGTTTACAGATGGCAATCAAAGCAGAAATGATGCTGAAAGATCTTTCCTCGGGCCTTCCCAGCTAATTAAATCCAGGTTTCTCACTTGACAAGTGAAGTGTCAAGAGAGCACAGAAAGAGGGCATTTGATCTTCTCTTGAAAGTCACATCACAACTTAAGTTTTATGTGGCATCTCGATGCTTTACAAATGGTAACTGCAGTTATCATCACCATTAATAAAAACAAGCAGTTTTCCACAGCAACTCTGGTAAACTCAGTGTAGAAACAAGTGAAACTATACTCCTTCCTGTCCAGGGTACAAGCGCACAAACCTCTTAATGCTACCAATGTCCAGCAGACAGAGTGGATGCTTGGTTATGACTTATCCATACTGCTGATCAAACCCTAGGCACCACTGACGCTCACACTACCACTGAACTCATTCACTCCGAGAGACAATGTTAGCTGAGCCACAAAAAAATTTTAGTCTGATGGTAACAAAATCTTTCAAAAAAAACTCGAGCTTGTTTGTTCATAAGGTCCACCCTGGAACAGAACAGTGTAGTAAGCAACCAAGAAAGACTCAGAATTGCCTGAAAGGAGGTAGAGTTACAGATGGATTAACATACAGCAGTGATCACCGACTAGTCGATTATGGAGCCTCTGACAGTCGATCTCAGTCTGGAGGGGTTGAGCATGCATGCACTCATCCCCCCCCAAGACTGAGATCGATTGTCAGAGGCTCCGCAATCGGGAGTGGGAGGATGCATGTGCGGAGCAGCTAGGGCAGGACAGCAACAAGACGCACGTGGCTGAGCTGAGCTGTGTCCCCTGCCACCAGGGCCGGGCAAGTAGGGAGATCCCTCTCTGCGCCCTGCGGTGAGGGAGGGAATAGGGCAGGGGCAGGAGTGAGTAGGGCCCCAGCCAGACCGGGGGAGGGTCAGAGCCTGGGTGGCTCATCCAGGAGTCCATGGGGGCTCCCGCGCTGCATGCACCCTGGCGGAGGTAGTGCAAGGTAGATCTTGGGTTGCTTTTTAATTCAAGAAATGATCTCCTACTGAAAAAGGTTGGAGACCACTGATGTACATGCTCTACTTGTTTTTTGGTTGGGTTTTTTCTTGTGGAGGGGTAGAAATCATAAAATGTAATGTAATCAGGTTGTATCTGCCTGGCTGACTTGGTGTCAGACAAGACAATCCAGGAATGTGACTAATATTAATTGGTAATGTACTAACATGCAACAGGAAGAAATAGGTATAATTTAGCCATGCATACATGTGGTAGCCTGTGATGGGATTATTTAAGGAATTATGTCTTTATAAAAGCCTATATTTTTTGAGGAATTTTGAATTTGTTGGCAAGCTTCCTTGCTGTCAGTTGACGTGATCACCGAAGCGACAGTGAATAAAAGCTGGTTTATGCTGGCTTTTATTTATTTAATAAATAAATTTAGTGTACTTATTCAAACCTGCAGTGGAAAGTGTCCCTGGAAGTTGCAAGATATTTCAAATACAAAAGGTGTGAGCAAGCACAATGTTAGTATTTCTTTCTTTTAGTAGGCCCAGAATCTGCCTTGCCTGGCATGAAGTCCCAGGCTGTAACCTACAGTCTCTGAAGCAATCAATAAAACTATGTTTTGGTTTTGTGTTCCTGCTAAGAAACCAGATGTTAACACGCTGCATCTCAGACTGCCATACCCCACTGCAGAGTATTTAGAGACTGTGTTGGATAATGCAACTGGCACCAATTACATCATGCACAAGCAAAGTGAAAATAAAGTTAGCAGCACTGCAGAACCCACCCTGGCCCCCCAAGTACAGTGTCTTGCATCAATTATCACATCTATAAAATGAAACCAACAGATCAGTAAGTTATACCTTGGAGCAGAAAAGTGGCAAGGAAGTGAGGAGGTGAGACTGTAAGGGGAGGAACAGGGAGCTGTGGGTAAAAATCACCATCTGTGTGTCAGCAGCACTTGCTGGTTAAGATGGAAAGGGAAGCCTGGCTATGCAGGCTGCTCAGTCAGCTGAATGTCAGACCTGTCAGCTAAAAGCGAGTCTGAGATTCCCCCAATAATGTCTACACCCGTCTCTGATTAACCCTGGGACAACTTTCTATTTATATGCAACACATCAGCCGGGATCCCACAGCAAAGGGATGATGATCTCAGAGGGCTTTCATGTTAGCGACAGTCTGGCTAAAAATGGCAACAGCACTCTTATCCTTCCCTCCTCCGATTCCCACTTGGCTCCTGCCCTTCATGAAGTGGCTCATGACCTGTTCAAAGAGTTAAACACCAATGGGAAACAACAAAACAGATTTCAAAACCTGCCTATAATAGAGCCAGAATTAATTCATTGGACTCAGACAGCCCCTCCAAAGGGCCTTGCCGTTTCTAAGGGACATCCCAAATGGGATAATTTAGACAGGAACCTGTGGCAGGCAGCCACCTCCCATGTCATCTCATTTGATTCACTATATTTTTATAGCCAAATGTAAAAAAAAAAAAAAAAAAAGTGTGTAGGCAAAACAAGGTATTATTCAGGGCCATGATGATGGGTGATCACTTCACACAGGCATTTGACCTGAACTCTGCCACTGGCAGGGTGCAACATCTGAAAGCAACACATACCAAGAACTGTCATTTTGTCGCCTGTGAGAAAAGTAACAGCCCCAGAGGTTTTGACAGACATTATATAAAACAGCAATATACAACAGACTTCATTTCAGCACATGGGTTAAGTACAGACAGTCAAAAAGGCCAAGGCTGAATCGATTCAATCTTCACAGGTTAGTCTAAGCTGCGTAGACTGAACCAATAAACAAGTGAACAGACACTCACTTTTGATTCTGGAAATGTAGACACATGCGTGCAATGGCCTAGGCCAGAAGCCAGGGAGTGCTAAAGCACACCTCCCTGCTCAGCTCGAGCAGATAGCTTGGGCCAAGGCTAGCCTGCCCACCCGGGGGGGGGGGGGGGGAAGGAGACTCCTAAGTCTAGCCTGCCCACTTGCAAAGGGGGTTGGGGGGGGGGGTGCAAAGCATCCTGGGATGCTGGAGGACTGTGAGTTAACTTGCATCTAGAGGGGACCTGGAACAGAAGTTCAATAAACTGATTTAACCTAAAGCAGTTACGTCTGATACTACATCCATCCAGGTTTATTTTAAACCAGTTTCAGCCACTTTGAAAGTGGTTTATGTGCACTGAACTTCTGTTGTGTTGCAGATTTGAATCGGTTTCCAATAACTTGTACCAGTTTGTGTGTAACTTCTGTCCCTAGCCATGATGGTGGAACTTCATAGAACAGTCGGGACTTATGGTTAGATAACATGGGAGTCAAGTGATCCTTGATCTTGGTTCCTGACAACCTCTCCGTGTCTTGCTTTGTCCTACTGTAAACTGGGAATAATAGCAATCTGAGCTCTTGTGATGCCAGGCATCAGATAAGAAGGAAATACAATTCTTCCATGCAGCCATTTATAAACATGAGGTGCTAAATTAAGTCCTGGGCATTGGTCACTGGTGAAGGGCAATACAGATCAAGCTCACAGCCCCTCCTGCTGCCTAGTTATCAGCAAAGCCATTTCACAGTACATCAGTCTATGTAAGCAAGAATGTCTTGCTCTTAAAAAGAATACTTACTGCCTTCACTCTGACTGTCTTTGTTCAAGTTGTAGACCTAGAAAAAAAGAAGGGAAATCTTTAAGCTTTCAGGTATAAAACAACGCCCCCCTGCACTTGCTGAAACAGTTATTACTATGGATGAGTTGCATCTATAGCTCCCAACAAGCATTAGGGTTCCTTTATACCAGGCACTGTACAAACATGTAGTAGGAAACCAAATCAGCTCCGAAAAATTTACATCCTGGTTAGACAAGTCAGGCAAAGAATAAAAAGCAGCAGCAGCATCTCCAATTTACAAAGGGGGAACTGAGGCAAAACAAGATCAAAGTGATTTATACATCTCACATGAGGTCCCTGGCAGCACTATGCACATCACCCCACCTCCAGACTTTCACCACAAAACCTTCCCATTACCAATCATTTTTTTCTTAACCCATCACACCATTATTCTTTTGTTACTTCCAGGTCACTAGAGATACTGTAATGGGCAAAAAGGGAATGTTTTCATTCAGGTCTGTTTAATGCAATTTAAAAGCTGATATTGTAAGCTTCCTTACCGCACGGTCAGCTAACATTGCTTCACACATGCCAGTCTGCATCTCAACAAGATTTGCTAGCCATGTTAAGCTAACTCTCTTGACACAAGGGGAAAGCATATCCTTTTCACCAACCTACGCATGGACCACATGTTGGCACATGTGCATATTCAGTAGTACCTCACTTCCCATCACTCGCATTGTAAAGCTGATGCGAGTCTGGCAGAAACCACCGATACCGGTTTCTATGCACTTCGAAGCAAACACCACATGCTTGGATAGGAACAAAGCACAGAAACACCTTCAAAGAAAAGAGGAGCAAAGGAACTGGTTTAATTGCATGCCAGGACATGTCATGAAGCCAGTTCTGGATATAACAGCTCTTCCTTCGTAGCATGTAGGAAAGTTTTCAGAGTACTGGTTCACATAGCTGAAGGAGATGAGGACAAGAAGGCAGCACATACCGAGCTCATAAGGAGATAGGTTGTATAGCAGCTAACCCCTGCCTGCCCACTGATAACAACACATCTCAACTCAGCACGGCACGTGACTCTTGGTTCTGGGCTGCTTGCTCCCAGTATAGTATATATGTAAGAATACTGCTTGCTCCCAGTATTCTTATGTGTTTACTCCACTGTGTGGTTCGCTAGCCCACGCCTCCAAAGAAACCATATGGCCAATTAATTAAATTAATTATCTCCTTCAAAGGGCACTAAAAACAAGGCATGCACTTGATTAATCAAAGCAAAAAACAAACTAATCCTTTTGTGTCAAAACACTATCTCTGTCTTTCCCTTCTGTTTTTCCTTCTCTCTGGCCAAGCGTGTCATAAGACTGTATGCTCTTTTAGGGATATAGAAAATGGAGCCAAGATTTGATCTAGGATAGTCGATGGCAAAACTCTCACCTAATTTAAAGGACTTCATCCATTTTCTTTGGTCTGTAAAGCACCACGGGCATTTACTGCATTTACAAGCAACACATTCACAACCTCCCTAAAAAGCAACGGAGGGAGAAGGGGGAAGGTCTGCATGATGAAAGTTCCTATATGAAAGCAAAGCTGCACTTTCTGCATTACTCTCTCAAATGGTGCTGGGGGGCCCTCTAGACGTTCAGGTAAAGGCTTCCCCTTACAACACAGCACAAGTCCAACAATGAATTGGGCAAGAAGCAAAAAGCTGCTCCGGATAAGTGTGACTGGCTGTTCCACAAGTAGGTCATTGATCGAGGTTGCCTTTGAACAAACAAGCTTTGTAGTGCAACTAACAAAAGCTGGGACGCTGGCCCAGCCTGCCGAGGGCTGTGTGAGTGAGTGGGTAAGCAAGGAGTGCAGAGCACTTAAAAACAAAAAACCAAAAAAAAAAAACCCCCAAAACCCGCCCCCACAAACCAATGACTTGAGTGGATCCAAATCTCTAAGTTCCCTTCTCATCTTCTCTTCCCTGCTAAAGGGAAAAAGGGGAGGGAAAGCCCTTCATTCTTACAGTAAAGCATACATCCTTGCTTCCTTGACGATGTGACCAGACGGGCTGAGACCTGTGGCAAGTTTCTGTAGAGTGAATCAGGAACAAGCCGACTGCTCTACACAAAGCCAGCGTGCTACACCAACTGTTGAGATCAAAATGGACCAGATACCCATTTCAATAAATAAAATTAAAAAAAAAAAAACAACAAAAACCCGCTCGTCTTTCTGTAGCACTCGGCTTTTGCAGTACTATTTACACATGGTTCAACCATTTAAACCGATGTATTGCTTGCCATTCTCCAATGTTATTCACAGTATTTTTCCCCAGATAACCCATTATACGTTTTTTTTCAGAAATTACCAAAGCGTTCCTGATATGTAAGTTAATGGCAGCTCAAAAAAAAAATTCAGAAGAACTAAGTGGAGGGAGACTGCCACTTTAGTGCTAGGAACCAAGCAATCTTCACTATAACATTTCCCAATAAATATGTTTCTTCTCAATCTCTCCCTCTAGGGATATCCACTTTTACAGTATCAGGCACCAGTAACTAACAACAGTACATGACAGGAAAGCTGGAGACTCCTCTCTCAGGGCAACTATATCTATTGGTTTTGCATCTGTAAGCTGAGGGAATGACTCGGTGGCAAAAAAAACAGCTGTACTCAGCAAGAGCATTGTCTTCCAGAGATAAAAATCTATAAAAAGACAGTAAAGTAAGTGAACACAGGCAGGAAAAATAAAACAGGTATTCCCAGCTAAGAGTTCAAATCTAGAACCCCGATTGCCACGTGTAACATTTCTAAAGCTCTCTGGCCCTCCATCTCCAAAGTGTCCACTCTTGAAATACTTGTGCAAGGAAGGGAAGAGGCAGAGAGAGTGTGTGAGCAAGTCAGTGAAAGAGCCAGAGGTTAGTAACTCCTTGACAGTAGGTACCTCCGTGTTCCCCATGCTGTGTTCTGCAGCCCATCTTAGTAGCTCATTAAGACCGTTTATGAGAATTCAAGCATACAAAAACAGAAACACAAATATGACCTAATATACAAAGAGTGAAATTGTGGCACAGCCCTTAAGGTGTTATTTTCCAGTTACAGAGCTATAGCTAAGATGTTTTTCAAAGGACCACGCTGATGCATCCGAAGTCCTGGTTTCGGACATACCCGCACCTGTTCAAAGATGCCTCTCAGCAGATCCCCATTTACAGGCCTGGTAAAGATCTTGGTTGCTGGGGACTCATCAAGTTGACATCGTCCAGTCCGTATTTTGAAGCGTCTCTAGGTCGTTCTGCACTCCAACCACTCCCTCTGGCTCTGCTATCTCTGGTGCACTTCCTGAGCACAAACACTATACCTTGTACTCCCCTTTGGAGGTACTGCTCTGTTGTCCTGCTTCCTGGGTCCAGCACAGGACAATACAGGACCTCCCTACCCCAAAAGGCATCCCAATAATTTAACACACCCCCTTCCAAAGTCCCACTCTGTGGGCTCTGCAAATTATAGTGAACCCTGAGATGACACGTGAGAGTTGTTTTCCTGATTCCAGGTCCCCTCTCCAGAACTTCACCCTCAAAGTCAAGCTTCTCTCCTACAGCACGAGGCATCCTCTGGCCCCGGGAATCAACTTTCTTTGGCTTGACTGGTCACACAGTCAAGGAATCCTCTCTCGCTCAGGAAATCCACCTCTTGATTTCTCCAAGTCCCTCCTCAGCTTCTCAGATTGCATTTCTTTTACCCCATCCCAACATCTCAGCCTCTTTTTCCTTCTAGGGATTTTCCAGTCCTTAAAACACTTTCTTTCCAAAAGAGCTGGAGAAAAGTAATTTCACTAAGGACACCGGCATCTTGTTTCTCATTCAGTTATTGATGTTCATTAAGGACAATTCTGTTCAAGTGTTTCCCCCATCCCTTTAGTGTCAGGAAAATAAAGCAAAAAGATAGCAAAGAATCATAATGGTCTAAACAGAGAGGATTCATAAGTTCCAGACAGAATGTACAAGCTGTACATAAATATAACCCACATATTTTTGCATACATGCGACTGTCCCAACATGCATCTACCCCACTGAATACCAGAGCATGAAGCTACAGAGGAAGTGTCTGCATTTTTTTTTTAAATGTAGTCAAGACAAAAGTGATAGTCAGCAATTGAAAATAACCCTTGAAAGAAAGGGAAAAGGAGGCAAGTTTCAGAGACGCATAATATATTCATACTATTACAGCAAAGTTTTCTTAAAAAGGGCCATTTGTATTTAAACATTCAATCATACAGCTATAAAAACAAGGAAATAACTGTAGGACAAAGTATACTTCATTAAGAACATGCTTTTTTTCCCTCTGAGTGTGGTAGTGTTTTAGCCCAGTTCTACAACAGTGTTTTTTCCAAGCCATATTTTGTCCAAGTCATAAACACATCTTCCTACTTTACAAAAATCCTTTGCTCCTAAAAGCAGCTTTTTCTTGCAGTATAATTAAATTCTTTAAGCAACTTGGAATCAAAAGGTTTTAGCTGCTAAAACAAAACTCTATACTCCCCAAAGCCTTGCAATCCATTACACAGGGGAATCATTTTCTCCATTTCCCCTGGAGAAAGGCTTTGTGATGTACATTTATGTACTTATCCAGCAGCACTCACAGGAAGATGTTAAGACATCAAGTCTTTTTTCAAAAGAAAACCCACATATCTGCTGGAAGAAGTGTCACATGTATTCTGAAGAGAGGTGTGTGGTAGAACAAGAGGAAGTTTCCAAGTCTGAAGAGTGATCTGCAATTGCACTACTCAAGAGGTCCAAAAGCAGGTCTCTGCAAGAGCTAAGGCCCATCAACTCCCCCACCATCAGAAACGTGCATTTAGTGCAGCCAAAGTTCTGCTGGCATGAACTAGCCGAACTTCCCCCTCTGGGGTCTTGGCTTAGCATCTGTTGAGCTTGCCCAGATCAGATTTTACATATATGAATACTTCAGTCTCTTTGAAACTGCCCTGGATAATATGCAGAACAAACCAACAGGACTTTAGATCTATCTTTACGTCAAAGCCAATCTGCCTTCTACCTTTAACTG